AACTTGAAAAAATAATTTTTGAAAAAACTAATCTTGTTTTTGAGCCCATTTAATGATTAAAATAGAAAAAAAAATGTGAAATCTCCTATTTTAAAAGATTCTTTAAAAGTTCATTCAAAAATGGGAATTCAATAACCCAATAGTGACTCAAAACTAATTTTTGCTTGCAAAAATTAAATGAGGCAATGCGAAATTTTTATTTTATTTACTTCAATATGATAAGGAAGTTAATTTTGCTATGAAAGGAAAGTATCGATAAAAGTTTAGTTAGACAAAAAATTCTTTTGGTTATTAATATTTAAAAGTTGCTTTTTAATTTTTTCTCTATTTATATTTACTCCTCTTTATTTTTCATTAAAATCACTTGAGCATTCTTTAGTTATAAATTACTCTTTAATCTGTTTCAAATCAGTGGGATTTTATCAAATAATATTCAATGAGAACCCACTGTTGTGCTAACTAGTCAAAGTTTTTTGAAAAATAAATACTTAAAATTTGCGATATTTTATTTCTTTGTTTTTGTCAAAATCGTTTCAGTGAATATGCCTACATTACCTTAGAAATTTTGAGAAACAATACCAATCAGTTTTTACAGGAGAGAGGAATCGCTCCTGACCTGATAATTTTTTGTGACCTGATAAATTTCATATGGGAAAGTTGTTTCATTGATAAACGGTACATACAATAAAGCTGTAATATTTTTTTTTTATAATTTTAATTTAATTTTAAATAGCTATTGATGTAACTTTAAGAGTTTCAAATATAATTGCTTACTACCTTTTGAAGGAAAATATGCAAATTAGAATCGTTATTTAATTAAAGTATTACATAATAAAGTGCTTTGAAGTAAAAATACTTAAATTAATGTCAGAATCAAACGTAATACTTATTTAATTTCAGTTAATTGGACCTAATGGTATTTTTTCAGATAGAGCTAGTTGTATTGGCTTAATAGCATGCACAGAGTTAAAGAAATAACTTTTTGAAAATTCGATTTCTAAGGAACTATTCGATCAATTTCACTCAAATTTTGTACTTTGCCATGTAAAATTACATTCTTTAAAATAAAGTAAAAAATTGTGTACCTTACAATTCAAAACTGTTTCGTTTATTAATAAATAAAATAATAAATATTTGATATTTTTGCAAAGATACCTCCATGAAAAAATTAATTTATTTATTTTTTGAACGGAGTTATCTTTGGATATACGAATTTCCTAATTGTGTGCAAGTATTTTTCAATTCGCTTAAAAAGTTCTCGAAATATTGCGAAATATGCAAAAAAAAATTAAAATTATCATTAAGGGGTCCAAACTTAGGACAGCTATCTTGATCAAACAATTGGATCCGTTTCCCATATTACGACTGTCTCCCATATTACGACTGTCTCCCATATTTTGACTGTGAGAAATCTAAATCCGGTAAAAAAAAAAAAAAATTTATTTGGATGAAGTACGTTTTTGCGTCTGATTTCGTAACTAAATATATAGTCTGCGTTGATTATTTAGCATATTTGGGATCGCCACCTTAAATCATTAAGATTAAGTCCCAGAACGTGAAGATCCGATCATTAGATCAAAAATTATTTTTTCTTTCACACACTGTACTGAAAAAAAATTATTTTAATCAACATCATTTGAACCTTATCTTTTGTTTATAAAAAAGGAAATTGAACTTTTGACGCAAAAAAAATTTTGATTAAGAATATCATAACAGCTTAATGCAGCCCTAAAGGAAAAATGCTTGAAATGAAGCATTTATTGAGATTGTAATGACCTTCGTACCGTCTGTAAGCAAGTAATAGTTATAATGGAGGGGATTAAAGTCTTTTTGTACCATTAGCGGCACGAAGACATAACTTTTTCTGAAAAGGGCTTTCTTGCTGATAGAATAATAATTACGCTGTTGAGTTTGTTCGCAAATGAGAAACGCAAGCTTAAAAATTAGGCTTTTTTTTCAAATTTCATTTCTTAAAAAGTATTTAAGTAAAATTTATTTTGTGCTATAAAAAGCCTAAATATGTGAATAAAACTCAGTTTCGTGTCATTTTTTTTTTATTTTTTATTTAAAGATATTTGATCGATACACTCTCAGAAATAAAACTCTCACTTTCAACGATTCTGAAATCCTTCAGCTGTATTTCTTTAATTTTAAGAATCACGTCACGAAATCACGTGAATCTTGAGGAAACGTGAGCTCTCAGCTCGATGACAGATATGTTTCCTTAACTTGGAACTTCATCGCAGTGCATTGTGGGAAATTGCTATTTAGAATGGGCGAAACTAAAAGGGAAACTATGCGATCAAAACTAGACAGACGACATAATCAGATCGTGCTATATGGTCGTCAATGAATTAAACTCATACCAGAAGAACCCAATACCTCCTATAAGAGAGAAGGCCTCAGCACGAGTTACCATGAACAGGAAATTTGATCCTTTAGTAGTCCAAACGTAATGACATCTTTCGTTTTCCCCCCATTGCGCAACTAAGTAACCCGTATGTAGTGACATCTTTCGTATATTTCCTTTAAACGCGCAGTTTATGTTCGTTACGTCTGACTACTAAATTGATCTGTACTGAAGCCTTCTCTCTTCCAGGATGTGTTGGAAGATCCCGGGTTCTAATCTCGGTTCGGGAGTGAGTTTTATTTTACTCTCAGTTCAATCTGGTCTTCTTATGACGTTGAATCACCTATATGGTGAAAGTAATCAACACGACTATTTGCTAAAAGAAATATCTTTTTTTTATTTTCAGTATAAAATTAACTTTACGTACAGAGCTCCAAGAAAATGGACCACTCTGAATAACTTTTGATCTAATGATTGGATCTTTACGTTCTAGGACTCAACTTTAACGGTTCGAGGGGTTTGACTTCAAATATGCTAATTAATTAGTGCAAACGATGTTTTAAGTTACGAAATCAGACACCAAAATGTTTTTATTCTGAATAAACGCACCTTTTTTTTCAACGGATTTCTGACCTCTAAAATATAGGTAGTATTCGCAATCTGGAAAATACGGTCCTAACAGTTTAGTAAGGAGATCGGACCAAAGTTTGGACCCATTAATGTTGATTTTGCGTTTAGCATAGTTAGCTGTATTTTAAGAACTTTTCATGCGAATTGAAAAATCTACGTTTTTTTTCAGGACCCACTCTTCTACATCTAAAGTCTTTGAAGAATATTTTATTTTATTTTGAAACCGAACGTTAAACAGTCGACCCAATTTTGAATTTATGGCCATCAATGTTCAATTCCTTAGCCTTACCATTTCAAACCCATTCCAGAAGACCTGGAGCTCTTGAACCATGCATTGGGGCAAACTAGCCATCGTGCGGGACTTTTTAATGGAAATAATCCTCATTTGCACTTTACATGGAGAGAAGAACCATGAAAACCTCCCACGGTCAGCCTGACTGCAATATGGAACTCTAACCAATCATCAGTCTACCAATGAAGATATTTTTTGTCAGTATTGTCGACTGAAAGATTTGAGAGCAGAATTCGTATCAACCAGTCACTGCTGGGAATAGAACCTGGGTCATATGATTGGAAGGTGAACACTCTATCCTCTGAGCCACCACGGCTCTTTTTTGAAGAATATTTGCAAAATATTTTCAGGAATTTTCGATTCCTTCCTATAAGCAACTAATATTTGAAATTGCACAAATAAATGGGTTACTAAAATATGTCTGTAAATAATACAATTTATAATAGCATATTTATCAATTTAAAACCTGAATTATACATGCATGATATTTTAAGACTAAAACTAGTAATACAAACTACGTCTGAGCTAATATAAAACACTGGAATGCACAAATAAAAATGTGTAGTCGCTTATTAATTCCCTTTTAAAGAAAATTGATTAAAGTTGTTTGGTTAAACTTCAAACACATTAACGCATTAAACATTAAATTAAAAAACTATATTGCTTTTACTCCTTTTATTTAAATATGTAAGGCATGTAAGATATTTATTAAGAGTGTAGAGTTACAACTAGTTCAGTTTATTTCAAGAAATTGGTCAGAAAACATGATATTCATAACAAATTAATCACAGTTTCAAAAAAGCTTTATCATCACAATTTCTGACTAATAGAAATATATTTTAAACTGAATTGGTTTTTAACACAAAACATACAATTTTTGGTTAAAATCAAAATTTTCAAGAAAAAATAAATAAATAGATAAAATAGGGAAAAAAAGATTTTTAAAAAAAGTTATCTACCTTTCTCTGTGATTGGCCTGGCTTTCTCTAAAAATAAACAAATAAACAAAAAAATAATCTGAAATAGTTTTAATTCTATTAAAAGAAATTTACGATGTTTTAAGTATTTGTATTTAGTTTATTCTTAAAGTTATAAGAAAAATCATATTTCAACAGGAATCGTTTCAACAAGTTAAAAAAAAGTAGGCATTTGATAATTAAAATATAAAAAGAAGAAGAAATGAATTAATAAAAATTAAAAATAAAATAAAATTTAAATAATTAATTAAAAAAGAAAAGACAGTTAGTTTTTGAAATACAATGATATGTATTGTGCAGTAATTGTTTCGGTGAAATCTTCGAATCGAATCCGGATCACGACAACCCCAATTACTAAGGAGACAACGTGTCACTGCTCTATTCATGCCATTGGGATTCATTTAAAAGCGCCATGCCCCAAGGTGGTTAATATCCTTACATTTCGAGCCTGTCCCTTATAGGATGTTTTTTTTAATGATTTTGAAATTTTTACCTGATTTACATCAATTTTCGACGATTATTTTGGCTCAGAAACGAGCTCGGTAATTTTCTCTAATTCATTAACCAGTGATTTTTACATGAGCTCAGAAACTAGGAAACATTATGCAAGGTTATTAAAGAATCAACGCATTCAATAATAACGTTATTTTTCAATACCTCTCTTGTAGGTTCAAAATTGTTGTTGTTTCAGAATAGTATATGGCTTGCATAATACTTCCTATTTTAATCTAAGAAGACTTACGTTAGGTACCAAATGATCTTTGCTTCCAACTCGGGTGAATTTATTCCTATCCAGAAGTTTTCTAACAGCCTTTTCAGTTGGCTCGTTGAACTTCATGAAAATGACGTACGCAGCATAGCATGTTAGAAGTGTGCTTGCTTCGTACCAATGGATGACATTGTCTTTGAAACAGAGAATCAATACGATCAAACTTATGGAATAGAATGTTACGTCCCTAAACAAGGGCCACCATGTTAGGCTTAAAACTGTCTTGCTGAAAATGGCACACATTGAGATGACAAATAAAATGTTGAAAACAGCGGAACCTACGATAGTCCCTATTCCAACGTCGTCGTAAGAGATGAAGACCCCTATGACACTCGTGAAAAGCTCTGGTGCGCTGCCTCCGGCAGCCATAAAAGTTGCTCCGGCAACGTCTTCAGATATATCCAACTTCACTGTTATAACATCCAACGCTGGAACGAAAAATTCATCACATACAATAGCAAGAGCAACGAACATGTAAACGAGTCCAAAACAGTGCAGGACGACAGCGCCATGCTTTCTTTGTTGCAATGTGAAAAGATCTCTAGGAAATTGAGCTTGAGGGTGGTCATCATTGGTGCTGTTTGTGCTCGAGTTTTCATACTTGCTGAGGAGTTGCCTCGGAGAGTGTTTGAAAACATCGATAACCGTGATAGGCTCTGAAATTTTCAAGGATGATGGATTGTGATAACAACTTCCCTTTTTGTGGTTCTCCATGTAAAGGAAATAAAGGATAACAAAGAACACTGAAAGTAAAACGAGTCTGGGATCCCTCCATCTTTGACGGTATGGGCGTGTCCGTATGTGAAACATGATTATTATTAGAAGATAAATTTATTGAGGATTTGAGGAGGAGTGAGTATTTGCTATGTCTGGATATCATAACTTCCCAAACGTGACGCCATATCTTCGAATGACTTGATATGCCTCTGCCTTTCTAGGGTGGATATGAAGAGTGTCAGGGAAGGTGCCTGCTGAATGTGGTCCATTGTGATTATTCACTTCAAAATGAAAGAAACATTCACTTCGAATCTGAAAAAAAAAATTATAATTTAGCTTTCAGATTTATTTTTGAAAAAGAAATATTGGTTCATTACTTTAAAATCAGTCATGAAATGCGTTCAAAAAATCTTTGCCGTAAATGTCACATGAAATTATATATTATATACAGATGGGTGACAAAATATTACGAACACTTTTATACTAATTCTATGTAAGTAATTTCTCTTTTAGCAACAAAAGCGAACAATCTTTCGTTTAGTTTTCTGTTTTGGAAGAATTTACATGACAAAACTCATGGCAGAATTTGGAGGATCGTGCTTGAAGCTTTTAGAAAAGATATCATTTTTACCCATGCAATATTCGACTGAACCAAAACAAGAAAATAAAAATAATAACCATTTTCTGTCTTTAATACCAGAAATTTTGAAATAACTCTATAGGATTGTGATATTTATATAATAGTGATTTTATAATTATAGTGATATTAAAAAAGGAAAGAAGCTTTCAGCATTCTACGCTCATTTTGGTCGATGTAAATTTAGCATGGGGGTACGGAGCATCGTATCCAAAAGCTTTAAGCGCGATCTTTCAAATTGCAAAGCATTTGCTTCTGAAGGAATGATTGTTTACATTGAGTTAGTATTGTAAGGTTTATGTTAGTTTGTCACCCATCTGTATGTATCTAAACAATTAGATATCATTACGTTTGATCTAAAGTTATTCTAAGTATATTTACTCAATCAAAAGTTTATTAATTTACTATAATCATCCAATTTCTAACTCATTTCTCTTTATAGTTATAAGTCGTTGAGAAATTTCCCCTTATAATATCATTCATGATTTCATAAATTAAAAACTCTGCACTTAAACAACATCTGATGGAATAATTTGAAGAATTGCTTTTCAGTATAATTCAAAAATTTACTCAGATTATATAAGTTTGTAAAATAAAAACGATTCAAGCTTTTGTTGAATCAGTAAATTAACATTGCCGTTGAGGAGGAGCTTTTTTTAATTTCCTCTGATGCAAATGAATTAAAATTAGTTTGTTAATACACACAACACAGAGAGGATGTTATTATCAATTTCAACGAGGCTTAACAAAACCAAAGCGAATAGAAATAAAATAGATTTAATATAATTAACAAATTTATTTACACCTTCTTATGAGAACATAATTATCTTAATTATAAAACTGAAAACATTAATTCTTTTTTATAACAATTTGGTTCTGTTTCTGTAGAATATTCTGGATCGCACGAATCGAAATCAAACTTTCAGCTTCTTGTAAACAAAATAAATATCAATCGTCTGAGAATTGAGAACTTGCACTTCAAGAAGAAGGCCTCCCATACCCACACATGTGACCTATGACGTCAGCGTCAGCTAATCTTTGTCGGCAAAATGTCGTATTAAAGTTGAGCTAAGTTTCTCTTCATAAGTTAGAATGTTAGTTAACAATAAGTTGATAAAATACAGAGCAGTATCGCACATCGAGTTAGCAGAAACATAATTCTTTCCCGTCTACTTCTCTACTTAATTTAGATTTATCATTTGTTTATGTATTTTATTGTAACCTAAATGTATTTTTATTTAGTGTACCTGTCAACTAAAATACATAATTAATTCGCTTATGTTCCACATGGCTTGGTGCCTATCTTTGTATTAGGTCATATTGTCAAAGAATTGAAATCATTGAGATAGAATCTTTGTGAAAGAATTTAGAATGTATTACTTAAGAAAATTGATACTTGACGGATTCTGCTTACTCGAAATAGAAAGGAAAGAACAGTTTCAAACGTAAACAAATGCCACGTTCCAACAACCAATTAGGATCGAGATATCCACTCTACGTCATTTGCAGGTGTCCGATTGAAAATTAACGCCAAGATAATAATTTATGATTGAAGTGAGCTTGGAGTAGTCTTACACACTTTAAAACACACTTTAAAGTGTGTATCGAAGCTGGTTTGGATATTAACTTGAAATAACACACAATTTTTAAAGTTTTCCAACACCAAATTCGGATAGGTATTACACTACAGTTTTTACAATGTATGTAAAAAAATATCTTTTTAGAAAGTAAGTTTGTTTTGTGAGTAATACAATACTAAAACAAATTAAATCTATGACATTTTGAATCAAATAACTATTTTTTTTTGTATATCGAAATAATAACCGACGAGTTTAAATAAATATAGATTCATGCTTCATTGTTAGGAGTAACGCACTCAAAAGTTGAAGAGTAACATGCTTCGATTTGACGAGAAATTTTATGATTACCGGCGGCGAAATCGTCATTCCTTTATTTATATTAAGATCATTACAAAACATCCAAGTTCCCCAAATAAAATCTTGCATTTTAAGAGCGTTTCTGCAACCGACAAGGAGCGATGGAAGCTCTACAAAAGCTAGTCGTTAATTACGATACTTTCTCTCATCTAACGGCAATATAAGCTGCAGCAAGCGCAATTCTCGGGAGATTTTAGAATAGAATTTTTGATGAGTGAATTTTCCCTCGTCTTCTGGTCTGCTTTCGTTTTCTTAAAGGAAAAGCAAGCGGTTGTTTAGGGATTTAACGAAGAACAACCCTGAAGGGTATTCAAGTGAAGTAATGATTCCAAAAGTATTTATTTAATGGAGAACCAAAGGTAATGAAACGGTCGGATTTTGAGGTTTTATTCCTTAGGATTCTTAATAAAACTCCTACCATTTCGAAAGTCTGAGTAAATTTAGATAGTACGTTTTCTTTAATTTTTAATTTTTGCTCATTTCAATTTATTTAAGGGAGCTTTCTAAATGTTTGTCTGTGGAACACTGGTGTTTCTTAAATGTAGCGAAAGTGTTCCTCTAAAATTTAAAAAACAGGGGTAAATAAAGCTGTTATATGGAATGCAACAATTACTCTGGGGAATTTTTTTTTCTTTTGCATGTGGACCTGTAACAGATTTTTGATATTCTCAAATCACTAATTCCAAATCTGCAATCAGTTTCTCCTCCCAGGCTACAGTTTTTTAATGATAATTTTAGTCTATTTTTTGTCGAAATGTACAAGTTTAAAAGCATTATATTTAACAAGAGGTCGCATAATTGTTACTTCAAACTTTCAGGGCATCAGGATTAAAATCGCATAGGAACATATTAATCGCTGACTATGTTTCAACTTTTGCAACATTGTGGAGAAGTTAGTACTGGTATTACTTTAAATAGAGCAATGGTTCCCAATTTTTTTTTACTATGGAATCCTGAAGATAGCCCATCTTTTGGCGAAACCCCGAGACCTAAAAAATAAACAAATGAAAATCTGGTCTGTAGTGGCATATTGTCTTCTAATTTGATTTTAGTGTATGCATAAATTATTAATACATGATTAAATTAGCCATTTTTTATTTTTTTAAAAAATAAAGACGAAAAAGGGCCAATGTAAACGTTGAGAATGGTTATTTTAAAGACATATTTCTTCATTGTTGTACATGCTTATTTTACGATATCTCTTTTTATTGTTGTATTTTGCTATTTTTATTCTATTTCATAAATATTTTTTTTCCATTATTCATTCAATATATTATTACTAGAGTTTCTTTTTACTTTGTTTTGCTTTCTTCATAAGCATTTTAATAAAATAATTTCATAAAAACGACGAAAACATTAAATAAGTAATAGGTGATTAATCACATATAAATTTAATTACAGATTTCGAAAATCATAACAGAAAAAAAGGCCCTAATACTTGGAACTCTTATCTTTCTATGGAACCTTAGGGTTCCTCGGAGCACCATTTGGAAACCGCTGAGCTAGAATATCACGAGACCCACATTACAGTTATTATCATTATGTTTGATAATGTTTTTGCAAAATTTGATGATAAGCCTTGTTTTCCAAAATCTATAAATTTTAAGTCCCAAGAATCATAAAATATTAACTCATACAGAAATACAGCAATTTCAAGCATAAGTTCAGTTATTAAAAGCGTTTCTTGCCACCCAAATATCACATAACAGAATATTGGCAATATTTTGATGAAAAAAATTTAATTTGCTGATTGGTAAATTCATTATTGACTTACATTTAACTATCATTCTGAGAATCCCTAATTGCAAAATCAGCTGTATACTATTTAGTCAAAAAATCGGAAATAAATGTAATGCAATAACGAACCATGTTAAAAAAAACTTAATAATTAAAACTTAGAAAAACTACAGGTTTAACCTACTACTTTTCTAAATATTAAAAATAGATTCTGCTTATTAGTGAATGTGTATAAGCTATAAGCTAGAATTTATCTCGCTTCATTTTGAAATGAAACTAGACAAATTTTAGCTTATAGTTCTCACACAATTAAATAATGAATAAAAGGAATTTCCTTTTAACATTGCATTTATCAGGTCTTGCTTTGGGATGTTTCATGTATAACATTTTTGTGGCCTTAAAAATTGCGATCGAGAAATAAGACGAAATATTATTTCTTCAATATACTTAATCAAGTGACAATACCATTGTAGCAAAAACCAAAATTGCTTATTTTTGGTAATTGTTCCATTGTATCGTTATTTTTTTTTAAAAAAATAGGTTTTAATTTTCATCCAACAACAAAAATAGAATTTCACTGGTCATTAAAATAACTTGAAATCACTTTTCTAGTTATTTTAATATTTTTAGATTAAAATCTAAAAATCAAATACGCACTAAAAAAAGACCTCCACAAAATAATTTATGGAAAAAATGGTTTACTTTCATTTTACTAAACCTTGTGAAATCATTTGTGTTGATCATAAAAATAGGCAAATGCAGATTAACCAAATCTCAATTTTTTTTTAAATCAAATAATTTCCGCACACCAAAGTAAAAACAGCGGTGATTTCTTTCAGCGGTGCTAGAATAACTTACTTTATATTTATGCAAGTGCAAAATTTAATAAAGTTTTATTCTTTCAGGCAATAACTGAAGATTTCTAAATTTTTCAGCGCTGGCTTGTAAAAAAAAGACACTGGTGCAAAACAAATTATGTTCACCTAATTATAGCAAAGCTT